ACACACATCAAATCCATTTTTGCCTTTCTGACCGTTAATGAGTACAGATTAACACATGCACAGCATAGTCTATTCCAAAAATCTCAAAAAAAAAAAAAGAGATGCCAAAAGCAGGGGAGGAAAATGGTTTGACAAGAAGTTACTGCAGTCTCTTCAATTTGACTTGAATACTTGTACTCCAATTTCTCTATACTCTACTTAGATAACAGAAAACATATCTTAGCTTATCACCCTTCAGTTTACAACTAATATACCAAGTGCAAAAGAAACACATCTGAAAGAGGAGGACCCTCTTAAGCTGGTTTGGTACAACTAACTCCACTTCTTTGAGTTCTACTCAGATAATAAAAATGTAAATTAGCTCATCAGGTTCACAACTAATCTACAATGTCTAAAAGTATGACACCCTTAAATTTTATTCATCAATTTCTATCTCTGATTAGCTGGCTTTCACTCATATAAGAGATATCAAGTTAGATAACAAATGGCATGCCATGTTGAAAAACATTATTTATGATAGCGAAGTGTACACTTGTTTGACATCCACAATTGGCACATACTACTTGTGCACTTATGACAAGCCTTCATTCTCTTACCTTTGTGATGCAGTAGTATGTCCGCCCTGACTCCCAAATTCGACGGCCTATAATGTACTCTCTATCACTGCAAAAGAAGGGAAACTGGACCAGAATGATTTTGGTTAGTCAAACTCCAATTAGGCAATCCAAGAGTATGCACAAGTGAAGACAGAGCACTATAATACCTTACGCACCCACTGAACCACCATGGTTCCAGTGGTAGGACACTCTTCCAATGTTTCAGCATGTATAAGCATGTCATCCCACTTCAATCGAAATTCATCATCCCAGAAGAAATCCCTCAACATTTCTGGAGTGGCATCCTCATATACAGTTCTGCTACGATATTGTGGAGGTCCAGTCTAGCATGACATTAAAATGTAATCCAATTAAGGGAAAGTGCAAAATAATTAAATCCCTCCTATCATTACACATACTATAAGGCCAGGAGAGAGAAATCTACCTCGGGATCTCTACGCCAAGCCTGATAGGACATATTCGGGGTAGAACGATCCATCATCTGAATCCAAGCAGGTCCTCCATCTTGCTCTTCAACTAATCCGTCTAAGTAACGAAGGTCTGCATCAGTTACTACTGATTTTTTGGCTTCCAGCTGCAATGAACTGATAACAGCAGATTAAATAATTATTGGTGTCAAGGATTTGTGTATCTACTGTTGACACCCAATTTTGACCCTCCACAATTTAATTAATTTTCGAGCTTCTTCAATTTCAAACAATTTGAAATACTTGTTTTCGAAAATAAAAAATACTTTTGAAATCATTTTCAAGGCCATGTTGCCATTTCCCAATAAAATACATATTCATATACTTGCTACTTTTAATAAAGATTAGGAAAATTTGTTTTACCAAAATTGTGTTTTAGTGTGTGTTTTATTTCCCTAAACTAATTTGTGATTTGATTGGTATAGTTGATCTTTTATTTCAAAATAATTATTTTTATCTTGTTGAAGTTAAGAAGCTTAAATAATTAGTTAAATTTATGATTTATCTCCTTCCCGTTTTATCAAATTCGGTTTAATTTTGAATCTAAGTTTGATTTGATAAAATATAGAAACCAAACAACCTGCTCCTTTCTTTCTTCCTTTTAAGACCATACATTTGGCCCATTATGAAACACCCAGCCCAACTCCAATTCAACCCAGACCCCTCGCTCTTTCTTCTCGCTCACAACACGCGCCAACAACGCTCAACCAGACGAACCCAGCCCTAAATCCTCATTTCGCCGCCTCAATGTCCCCTTTTCTCCTTCAATTTGTACACTCCGCGTGCTTAGCACGAGCTCGAGGATGCCTAGAAGCTTCCAACCAAACGACCCCTAAATGATATAGCTCTTGTTGGTTAAAGTTGGTGCAAGAATGCTTTTAACTATGCCTTCCACACTTATTTGTGATTAAAATTGCGATTATGTTGACTTCTATTTTTGCATATGAGGCAAATGTATTAGGATTGGAAGTTGTACTCCTTGTTTCCTTTTTTTCCCTCTTTACGTTGGCAGACTTAATTTGCATTATTAAATGTTGTTTGAGTTTGTTTACATGTTAAATTAGTCTCAGCTCCCTTCTTGATTAGTTACTAATTCTTGTTCTTTGTTTTCTTTGCATGCACTCTCCCATTTGAGTCCATTGGACTCCACCATCTCTTGCATATTCCTCTCTTCGAGTCAACCTCCACCAAGTCGCGAAAGGGAAGCAAATATTATTGGGTTAAAACTCAAAAACCAGCAGTAGCTGAAACAGGTAGCGGCAGTCCCAAAGGGACTCATTGTTTACTGTGATTACTCAACTTTTTATCTAACTTAAATGAATTCCCGGGAGATTTTTAATGACCTTTCTTTCACTATTTTGTTACAAGTACTTCAATTTTCAAAACCCGTTTTAGTTGAGGCAAACTTAAGCTTGTAGAATAACTTCATGTTCTTTCATAGGTATTAAAAAGTTTTAATCCACGTTAATGAATTTGAACTAACCATTTGGTTCAATATCTTTAACTCGGATATATAGATTATTAAGTTAAAAACATTTTCGACTTCTAAATTTAGTACAAATTAATATCTATTCATTTTTATAAAGATTTTCATAAGTAACCCAATTTCTTTTATAAAAATAGCCAAATGTTTTAATCCTCAACTGCATGTGAGCGGATCGTGTTGTTTTAAATTAGTTTTCAAAAATAGGTAACATCTATGTAAAGGAGAATATGAGCAAGACTTTGGAACAAACCTGGAGGTAGAGGATGAAATGGAGGGCGGGGAGTGAGTTTCCTTGATCCAAGAGGGAACTTGCAATTTGAGAGTTGAAAAGCCAAAAGACAGGTTTTGGAGAGCAGGAACATGTGTTGTAGGTACAGAATCAATGGCAAGATTAGCCCACTTGGGCTTCCATGACCATCCAACCAAGACCCCAACAAGAACAGCAATCCAGATGGGTGCCATAAACATCCCCAGCTCTAATATTACCTCCCCAAAAGTTGGTCTTTGTAAAATCTCAAGCAAAGCCGCTACCAAACCCATAATAAAAAAGAAGAAACAACCCCCAATTCAATCGTTAAAAAGGTATATAAACTTTGAGCACGGCGAAGAGTCGAGGGATTCAAAAAAAAAAAAAAAAAAAAAAAAAAAAAGAAAGAAGAAGAAGAAGATAGAGAAAGATAAAGATAAATAAAAACAACCCTAAAGACAGATAGATAGCAGGAAAGAAAGAGTTATATTTTTTACTTAAATAAATGGAAGATAAAAGGAATTAGATTTAGGGAAAAGAGGATAAGGATGTAGAGGTAGAGAAACGTGTTAGCCGATTGCTGGTAGGGCCTCTTTTCATTTTTGCTCCTCAGGATTTTAGTTTTTATGTTCGACCAGGGAATAACAATTGCTTCTGGTGGTTGTGCTTTTCAAATAGCCCGGAATACAAAGTGATGAATTGTCATTTTATATTGTGATATTTGATTAGAAAAACAAGTGGTGCTTATATAAGTTTTAAGTTTGTGTTGGAAATTTTTTTTGTGTATGCGGGTTTTGTTTGACATAGGAGTATGGGGTTGGTTAAATACTTAAAAGTCAAGTCTTGGAGTAGTAGTACCACCGCGTTTACATCTCTCGTTCAAACCATTTGACTAAGGCTCTTTTCTCTTTTATTTGTCCTTTGACCATCAACTTTGTACCACTAATATCATTCCTACTTTATGGAAAATTACTATTTGGCATTGGGATTCCGGATTAGTATACATAAAGATGATATAAAATAATTTCAAGTTGAATTAAATAAGGTGAAATATCTCATGATTAAGTTTATGATAAAATATTTAATTTTAAAATATCTCACCTTACTCGCATACCCCTAACCAGTGATGTCAACTCAATTGGCTTCGTTTTTGTTTTTATTTTTCTCTATACTATTGGTAGGTTGGTGAATGGTGAGTCCTTATCATAAAAGAGTGAGAAATAGTGTTACCACAAAATTCTCACGTTTAACACAGTTTGGATGTTTAGTGATAGTGGGTATCTCTCCTCTTCTTCATAAGTAAAGTCCCTAGAGATAAGCAAATCGAATAGTGTTTTCATTAGGGTGTGCACCAACAAAATCAAAAAAGGTTTTTTCTTTATTCATAAATTAAAAACATTTCTTTTTGGAAGTGAATAATATATCACCCTTATTGGATTTATTTTTATACATGAGGAAGATGTGTATAAGCAAAGGGAATTAAGCTTATGAACAAGCTTGAGTGATAATTTGTAGGAATTCAGAAGAGGCAACATAAAATAGTGGAAATTTATATTTTGCAAGTGATAAGAGTTTAGAGATAAAAAAAAAATACAACTACAATTGTATATGAGTATTAATTAAATGTGGATAGAAGATTAAAGAGTTTGGATGAAACTTTAAACATGGTTTAAGGTCAAATTCAAAAGGAAACCAAGTCGACAAATTAAAATGGCTTATCTCCGACCAAACCTAACTCTTGACAACATGGAAACAGTGGTCGGCGCATGTGGTAAATAGTCTTGTTTGTTATTTGGACACGACAATTACATGTACAATTATTGGAGTAATTTACATGGACCCATTTTCTTCTTCTAATGCAGTGTGGATCCATAAACATGTCATTCATCATTTTCACTTCAATCATAGCAAATTTTGCAACCTAATAATTATTGCAATTTGATTTCCATCCCTTTCACTAACATGTTGAACATGCATATTCCGTCCACTCAATTTTTTCAACAATCAATTAATGGTAGTAACATATTTCGCCCCTCAGCAGCTTTGGAACATCAGTTTTCTGCCCAACTAATAAACTTCCAATTTAGTATTTCAAGTAAAAAATTGGGCCATCACATCACATCCCTACGATTGGAGTAACAACGAAAAGAATTTAACTGCACAATGCATATGATCATAAATTTTCAGAAACTAGTATGCCATATTGCTCCATTTCCCTCTCCACATCGCTGGTGGACCTCTTCCATCCTTTCCACTGATTTACAAATTCCACTACAGCTCCAATCGAACGATGCAGCACAAATGTTCCCAGCTTGGGCCTTCCACTCGCAATCTTTCAATTAAGAGGCCAAATAATCAAATGAGTAGAATTCTGTGTTGGAATTTTCATGCCATAATATATATAGATCTAAGGACTACTTGGCTACACTAAATTATTAACAACTTGTTTGAGTTATAGACTAGCAATGTCAACAATCATCAACTCTCGTACCAGAAACCAGTACATCACATAGAGTATTCGAGTAAATCTTACCTGGGGGTGTTCCACAGCACAAACTCCGTTCATCAATATGTTCAACATCAAGCCCAATAAACCAAGAACCAAGAGAAACATCTTCATTTGCATACCTATGTAGAATGTGTCTGACCACAAATTCTTTATGAATAAACAGTACATGTCACAAGTAAAGCACATGGATATGCAATAAACAGAAACCTTGAGAAAAAATTTATCAAGCGAGAGGTGTACCCATTGATCGATATGTAGGTAGCCAAATCCTTGGAGATTGCATATATTTGTCCAGTTGCATGCCTAAAATACTTATTTCCCTCCTCACCAAATTTCCAGTATTCGGGTTCATGGTACTTCACTCCTCTGCACAAAAAGTATGTCATACTTGAAAATTTTGAACCTTGAAGTACAACTGTAGAAGCTCATTATGGATCTAGAATCTTACTTCTGTGAGAGAACGGGTCCAGATTTCATGCAACCCACGTACACACAAGGTTTAGATCGATGACGGTCTAACAATGAACCTACAACACCTGTGACAAAATATGGAATTAGTACATATTCATCCCTCTCCTACTTAGTGTTGGGAGGATGCATTATTAATTGACTAGCTTAATGCTTAATATAGACCTATAATAATTCTCCTCTTTTATCTGTGCAAGGGACTAGCACTGTGAGCAACCTACACAGGCAATACTAATTTAGCTGCAAATAAGTTCTAGTCATATTTGTACGTCTACTTAGGTCCAATATTTTCTAGGACTCAAATCTTTAATAGAGAATTAAATGCAAGTAGAAATGTAGAGAACCGAAATTTATAAATATTGGATCGAGCATGCTTAAATGGAGCAACATGGATAATGAAACATCTTATAGGCAGTATGAATTAGCTCAATCTTGTGTAGTTCTTGTTGTACTCTCCTAATTAGTGTGGACTCACTATTGCTCAGCATTTAGATAAAAGGAATTTGAATAAGCTTGTACTAACCCAGATTGACATGCACATCATCGTCAACTTTAATAAAGAAGTCAGCATCCCATTTTGCTGCTGCAGTTGAAAAGTATATTTGAGTCTTAGAGGACAGCTCATGATATCCCTCCACATGATTCTGCAAGGCAAGATGTCTTTATCATGTAGTAAAATGCTCAGTCAACAAAATCCAACTAAAGAGTTATGGCACACTATTGTTCTCTCTTCTATCTTGATTAAACTTAAAACTGTAATGGCATATTGTAGATGATAGACTTGAAAGTAGTAAGACATATTCCAATGTGAAGATCATGCATACAGATGGGCAAAGGACACAGGAGGACAGAAGATAAAGAAAAAAAGGTGTACTGTTTTTTTTTTTTTTTTTTTTTTTTTTTTATCAGTGAGAAGAGTGTTTTATGATAAACATTAACTGCATGCTAGATCAATGGACATCTCTTTTTACAGGCATATATATAGAGACACTCATACATGTTAAGCATATTCATTAATAAATGCATAAACTATTAAAAGAATGTATAAACTGTAGATGTCAATGCCATACATTTTTTTTTTTCAGGAAGGTGAAAGATTGTCAGTTTCATATTTATACAATTGAAAGGTTCGCTCTTAACTTCTTTTGGAAAGGGGCAGTAAAATGTAACTCAAGTTATCTTGCTAATAGACAAACACGAAAGCATGAAATGGAATAAGATAAAGAGTACATGGCGTGCACTAAGAACAACAAACTTACCAGTCGTAAGAAATCATTATGTTGTGCATCCTCAGCATCTATAGCATGATCCAAGACTCCACCTGGGGTTGCACTGGGCATCATCACAGTCCATTATTATTATGAAAAGAGAACAGTGACTGCATAACAGAAATCCTTTCTAAGAATCATTCAATCTCCAATGTCAATTTACCTGTGTCCTATTACAAACCGTATGATAATGCCCTTCTCGTTTTCCAACTTTCTTAGATCCTCCCCTATACGGTTAATCAAAGCAATGTTAACCAACAATATTTCTTGGTTTAAGAAAATTTCCATACACGTTTGGTAATCAAACCTTGAGGCATCCAAGTTTCCCTAATTGAATCCCTGCGTTTTCTGCTGCTGAAAGCAGTAATGATTCCCATTACATAGAAAACCTTAGGGCGGTTATTCAAAGGCTCAATTACTGGTTTCCTACCAACAGCAGCTATTTCTTCATTTTGTGCTCTAGCAGCAGCGAGCTTCATTTCCAGAGAAGATATGGTTTTGTCCAATTCCCTAAAAGTTTTGTGAACACAATGATATTGGATTATTACGTAGAATCAAAGATGAGATTCAAAACTTAATTCTCCTTTTAATGAATATAATCACTAGCTTGGAACCTGTATATTGAAGGGAGGGCACAGAAAGTTACATGATTACATCGTGTGTTTTAGAAACATTGAAGAGAATATCTTCTGCTACCAGAGAAGTATCCTGTATCAACATCAACCACCCCAGGAATCAGTTTATCTACTTATTTTGTGTAACTATGAGGCCAAAAACGTCACATTCCAGCTGACTTGCCTTTTTCTCGCACTCAAGAACAGGATGAAGTTCCTGTGACATATGTTCCACAGATATAGCATCGTTCACTGTTCTAACAGAACCAGGCACTGTCAATAACCTAAGAAAAAGTAACTCAACGTGTTGTCAAAGGCATACTAGATGTTGCAAGAAACTAACATAGAATTTTAACAATACACATGGAATACGACTATGTAGCAATACTCTTAATGCCAAAACTATGTAAGATGTTGATTCAATGGCGTCTGCAGCTAATTACCAATACTGACATTCAATTCACGCATACTACATAAAATCTGTAGAGGTCGGTGCCCCATAATTTACCTATAAATTTGCCCCAGCTTTATTGTCTATAATATACTAGTAAAAAGACATGAACATGTCGCTTGTCACACTCACAGTAGTAAAATAGTACCTGTTGACAACAAAAACACCTAAGCAGAAGCTCGCAATGCAGAGCAGAGAGACCCATCTAGCGCCCTTGTAAGGTGGTGACCTTCCTACCTTCAAACCCATTTTCCTTTTCCTTTCCAATCCACTAAACAAGTAAACTAAACTTGTTTTTTTTTTTTCAAATAGAAATGAGAGTCAGAAGCACACGCGCTTTCATTACCATACCATGCTAAAATTGGGAAAGCAATAGATTTTCAAACAACACAGTGGGGACTAAGTTTGCAAATACAGGATACTTCATGCCCTCTGCTTAATACACCACAATTTCAAATTTTAAACAACATAAAAAATGAGTCATAAAAAATGAAAGTATTTTAAATTAAGTATATTGGTGGAACAACTCAAATAAGATAGAAAATTCAGTGATTCAAAGAAAGCCCAACAAATCGAACATTGAATCACACGAAAATAAAATATTATTCAACAAACTAGATATCCTGTTCTTTCTTGTAATGTTTTTGTTTGAGAGGATCAAAGAGATGAATCTCTCTATTGAAGAAGAGAAATTGTCAGTAACTACCAATTACTTGAACCATTGTACGCTCTCTCCACTTATAAAAAGTAGCAATAGTTTTGAGTTACAACTTCCTGTAAAATTATCTCATTTAAACAAGACTAGATTAATTACGTGTGATATAACCGTTCAATCAATTTTAGCATCAGTCAAAAATAATTGAACTTCTGCATTTGCAAACCATATTAAATATCAGACGAAGAGGGGTGATGTTTGACCTTCACAAGGCCTTCAGAGGTGACTGTCCAACCTTTTGTCCAAATCGAGTAAACTCGAATTTTTTTTAGGAAAAGTTACACAAGAAGGCAAACATGTGATGAATTTATGATTAACTACTATAGTTCAAAATAATTACAGTTCGCAACTATAGGTAGGGTTTTACATCAAATTTTTCTCTCCTCTCTCCTGTCAATGCCCCCTCCTCTCTCGATCTCACTCGCCTATTTCCTCATAATATATAGCTAAATATAATAGTTTTTGATACAATTGTATTCGTGATACAACATGTATTCAACTCTCTCTCCAAGATATCGCTCGCCTCTCTCCCCCCTCTCAAAGTCTCGTTTGCCTCTCTCTTCTTCCAAACATGTATCTATAATTTGCAATTTAGCGAACTATAGTTATGGATCTCTATAATTAAGTATAAACTATAGTCATTTTTGAAAGTTTTCCAAAAAAAAAAAAGGAAAAATTACATAAATACACAACTCAAGATATCATAATCTCTAAAATTTCTTACCATTTAAAAAAATTACAAAAATCCCCTCTCAGATACATATCTATCCCATCTAGGATACATCCCCCCCCCCCCCTCTGGATACATCATAATCTCTAAAATTTCTTACCATTTAAAAAATTAAAAAAAATTTCTCTCGGATACATGTTTATCCCCTCTAGGATATATCCCCCCCGGATACATCTCTCTCATTAAGTAATATATCATTTGCAATGTATCGTACAACCCAGAAATGTATCCGAGAGTAATGAAAAATCTGAGATTTTTGTAATTGGAGAAACTTTTGAAATAGGATGTAATTAACCAAATATATGAGATTTCTGTAAAATGCCAAAAACAATTACCTAAATACACAACTTATTTTACCATATTCTCTAATAAATTCTACCATTTGAAAAAATCACAAAAATTCCTACTATCTCCTATTTTTGGATACATCACTTTACGCGATGTATCGGTTGGATACATCACTTCATATGATGTATCGATCGGATACATCACTTTACGTGATGTATCAATCAGATACATCACTTTACGTGATGTATCGAGACGTACGCGATATGTCAGGACATTGAGTGATGTATCGGGACGTTGAATGATGCATTTGAAATCGAGACGCAATGTATCGAAATGTTAAGTGATGTATCCGAAATTGGGACACGATCTATCGGGACACTTTGGGGTGTATCCGTATTCCATCAAATTTAAGGAATTTGTGTAATTTAAAAAGGAATAGAGATATGATGTTATTAGCTCATTTGCATGAAATTCCCATAAAATATTATGAAATGGGTACTAGTTAAGTGACAAGCCCCAAAAACATATGTTTGTGCACTTGGTTCTGAATTAAGCCCTTTCTTGGGCCTTGTATGTTGTTGTAGTGCAAAAGTATCATGGGCCCCTGTATAAGACCCAGCCCAGAGGCTCAAATAGGAATCTGGCTAGAGATAGGAGACGGTGCCCAGTGTTATCCACTTCTTTCTCGTTCCGATTTCTTCTTCTTCTTCTTCTTGTATCAGAAAAAAGAAAGAAAAGAAAAGAAAAATGGCGTCTTTATCGAGTTGTAATCATCCAGGGAAACTCTGTTCGTCGTTTTCACCTTCACTCCTTAAGTTGTCTTGGGTCCAACGGGTGTCGGTTCAGTTCATTCACACCCACAGCCACACTTATTCCCTTCCTTGTGCTCCAAGGGCTCTCACTGTCATTTCCATGGCCCCCCCTAAGCCTGGTGGTGGTAAAGCCAAGAAAGGTATTATTTTCACTTTGCTTGTTTAGTTTGGGGTTTCAATCTTTTTACTGATGGGTTGCATTTTGTTACAGTCACTGGTATTATAAAGTTAGCTCTCGAGGCAGGGAAGGCAACTCCTGCTCCACCCGTGGGTCCGGCCTTGGGTTCCAAAGGTGTTAACATCATGGCATTCTGTAAGGATTACAATGCCAGAACTGCTGACAAAGCTGGTTATGTTATTCCTGTCGAAATCACGGTCTATGATGTCAGTTCTTCATTTTTATTGTCAATTAATTAAAACATGATTAAAGTCTTACTAGTATCTCATTGTGCCTCTTCCTTCTCTTCCAGGATAGAAGCTTCACTTTTATCTTGAAGACCCCACCTGCTTCTGTTTTGCTGCTCAAGGCTGCAGGTATTTAGAATTTTCACCTGTAACTGCTAAAAATGTGAAGGTTTAGTTTAGAGGCAAGTCAGGAAAACTAAATGATTCATTTAGAGTTAGTGGAAGAGATACCATTTAGCTTGAACATCAACGACACAAGAATGTATTTGATTTACTGATTGATGTACGATGCTCAAGGTCACAGAGTTTGGAGTTGGCTACCTTGGTGCTGAATCAATGTGCAATATCAAGCTAGTTTTGGATGAGGACATCATATCCTGGCCTATTACTACCACACCCTTGCTTGTTGTTCCAACATCAGTTACCATAGCTGTATGATACATATGACCCATGGGTCTCTTACAAGGGCAACTAGCCGACCTGTCTGCCAGAATTCCATAAATTTTTGCTTGCAGTTTGAGATCAAGAAATTCATAACATCCTCTTTAGCTCTATAGACTTATAGAGTACTTATAAAAGAAAGGTCTTTAGTCTATAGATGAAGGGTTAAGCACCTCCCTATGCACTTCCTAAACAATAGACACCCTTGAAGACAACCACTTGATATACTACCCCATGATCTTGGCTTGAATCAGGAACTAGAACTAGTTTATGGCTGATATTAGTTAAGCGCCTCACTGTGCACTTTCTAAACAAAAGACGCCTGTGAAGACTACAACTCGATGCACTATCCAACGATCTTGGCTTGAATTGGGTATTAGAACAGGATACTTTAGAGTCTTGTTTATGAAGATTTTCCCTCCTTCCATGATATTTTTCGTAGTAGGACGTAGACATGTAAAATTACTGAAAAACTAGACTGAAAACTCCCTTTTTTTTATTTTCCATGTTGCTCTGCTTGATGGTTGGGCAAAAAGGGAGAAAGAAAAAAAAGAAATATTGAAATCTGAATTAGAAAAACAGTTGACTCTCTTTCTCTCTGGGTGGAGAATGACAGAGACCCGTCATAAATATATATGCTCTGACTGCGGTTTTCTACTCATAGACTATAGTTCTATGCTCATCCAAATTAAGCAGTAGATTTAAACATTTCGTGTTTGGATTGGCAAAATCATTACTGAAGTAACCCATCCCATTGGGAATCATAAGAATGCATCACACTATTTGGGCATGCTGTCCTTGCTTCACCAAACTATAGAACTAATGAAATGAACTCCTTCGTTATTGTATAAGCACTGTTTTTTGGGTTACAGTTGATTATAACAACATGAAAGGTAATTTTTAAAGTAGATAACAGTGAGTGAAATAAATTTGCTCAAAAAGTAGAATCATTAGCTTGTTCTACTAGATGTTTATGCATACTGCTGTTATCCCCCTTCTTTGGTATATGGGGTCAATGGGGTCAAACCCCCTGTTTTATTCAGGGAAAAATGCCAGCACTGACTTAGTGCTTGATCATCTTGATGAATAAGATCTTTGCTTATCCCATAATAAAAAGTGTAATTTCACAATTTGGAAATCAGGTGTTCGATCAAAATAGTACACCTTGTAGATGTGAATGTGAACTTGTGCTGGAGTTTAGCTTTTTATGGTGCAGTTACTCTATCTTTGCTATATAGCCTGGATGTTATATGTTGTGGTGCATACAAAAGTTTGGATAGTTTTGGTTAGTTTCCAAAGATGTAAATATGTATGTATGATTAATTAATTTATCTCTTTGTAGGAGTGGAAAAGGGCTCGAAGGACCCACAGAGGGAGAAAGTAGGAAAAATAACTATTGATCAATTGAAGGTAATTGCTCAAGAGAAGCTGCCGGATCTTAATTGTTCTACGATTGAATCTGCAATGAGGATTATAGCTGGCACTGCAGCAAATATGGGAATTGACATTGACCCTCCGATTCTTGAACCTAAAAAGAAAGAGCTTGTGTACTAGTTGTGCCTTCTCTATTTTTCCATGTAATGTATCCCTGTATTAGAAGCAAAAAAATTTGGAAGAGAAGTAGATTGACTGCAGAAAGAGGATCTGCCCGTGTACCTTCGAATCTTTGTGTCTCTGTCTTTGGACTCTTCATTCCTTAATTATTTTGAATATATGATGAATGCCTAAGACACACTCTCAAGTGCAAGATGCCAATACAACTTTTCGTCCAAGTGCCATAAATTGAAGAAGAAACATTAGTCTGCTTGAATTGTTTTCAACTACACCATTTATCAAGAGAAGATGGCACAACCATTTACTACTAACAAAGCCTATACATTTCTTCAAAAGAAAGGACTGATTGATGCACACTTTAGTTTTTTCTTTATTTTCATTCCTAACTTCAAATGTGTGTTGTTAAAAGTTTCACGTATGCATTGAAAATAGACTAATATAACCTTTGATTGTTTAAGTTTCAGTAGAGAGAATGAAATATACAAAGCAGAGTCATTGTTACCCAACCTATGTTTTAGAGTCATTCTTTCTACATTAAGAAGAGGAAGAAAAAAGTAAACTCTACTTAAAAACGTTTGTATGTATAGGTTGGGTCATAGGTTTGGGGGCAGAGAGATCCTAAAAGCCAACATGTCTGACTGGAAACGTTTGTATAGTGAGTGGGCCTTGGATGTTTGGGTCCATATATAGTTGGTTGGGATCCATCAGGAATGGATAATAAGTAAGATAAGGAGAGCCACCCACAACATTTATATTGTGAAGGTAGCTCCCTGGCAGTGGCAGTAGCAGTAGCAGTAGGAGAAATTAAAATGAGAGCAATTGAAATATACTGGTATGGGGGCTTAGCCGCTTCCACTCTATCACAATCATCGTCGTGTATTTCCAAGGTTCATCAGAGGTGCCTGCGTTTCAACCGAACAAAAATCAAAGCAGTTGCAAGTAGTGAGAGATCGAAAGAAGCAGTAGCACATGAGGAGGAAGAAGCTTGTGTGAAGTTTGCCTTTGTCAGCGTGAGTAGTCTAATTCATCATGAGTTAATATATGAGTAGTCCCATTACCATTAATAAGTACTCGTAATTCGTTCAGTCAGTATTCCTACCAGATGGAACACCAGATGTGCAGCTAAGGAAAGCATGTGGTGGCCAAAAACTTAGAGACATAATGCTCGACGCTAATGTCGAGTTGTATGGACCTTATGTATGTACTAGAGTATTTCTTATCATCTCATCCAGTTACTTATGTATATATATATAAATATAATTATTACTCCTATATATTTAAGGCAAGACCTTTGCTCAATTGTGGGGGAGGAGGAACTTGTGCCACATGTTTGGTTGAGGTGAGTGTGAACATTTGGTTTACTGCCCTAAATTAAACTTGATTAGCATATCTCACATCGACATCAATTATAGGTAGTTGAAGGAAAGGAGCTACTCAACCCTCGCACAGACAAGGAGAATGAAAATTTAAAACGGGTATATATATATATATACGAGCAAGTCATGAATATATATATATAGTACTGCTGTTAATTTGTATATATATAATTTTCAGCATCCAAAGAATTGGAGGCTTGCTTGTCAGGCAATAGTTGGTAAACCTGATTCAAGAGGCATGGTACGTATGGATCGAATTTTATATAACGTCTTAATTAATCTCCAACTGTTCGTCTATTGACCAGTAATCAGTTTGTACAGATGACCATTCAGCAACTTCCGGAATGGAAAGCACACGAGTGGAATTATAGAGGATTACCGCCTAATGAAGAAGAAGAAGAAGAAGAAGCAGCAGCAGCATCAATTTCTTCATCTTCAGCCTGAGTTTTTACATTTACACAACACTTAATTATATGTCATGTCACAATAACCTGCTCTTTTCTTTTTGAGTCCAATTATTTTTATATATATTTATATATGAGCTTCGTATATTCTTCTATTTGCTAAAAGTAAAACAAAATACTTGGAATGGGAAGAATAATTGAATATGCCTGCCATCTAAAGAACTGCCTCAAATTGTGTTGGAATTTCAATAATAGGGCGTCATGCTAAAGATAAAAAATTGATCAATTGACCTATGCTTATATAAAAAAAGTTTTTAAAATTAAGTATAATGGTGGAAAAACTCAAATTAGATAGAATATGCAGTGAAAGTCTAACAAATCGAACATTGAATCACACGGAAACAAAATATTATTCAACAAATGTGTTTGTTTGGGAGGATCCAAGAGATGAACCTCTCTATTGAACAATAGAAATCTGAACCATTGCACGCTCTCTCCACTTATAAAAAGTCGCAATAATTTTGAGTTACAACTTCCTGTAAATTTATCTCATTTAAAGGATCAGTTTAATTACATGCGATATAATCGTTCAATCAATTTTAGCATCAGTCAAAAATATTTGAACTTTTGCCTTTGCAAGCCATATTAAATATCAAACGAAGACGGATGATGTTTGACCTTCACAAGGCCTTCAGAGGGGACTGTCCAACCTGTTGTCCAAATCGAGTAAACTTGAATTTTTTAGGAAATATTACACAACAAGGCAAACATGTGATGTATTTATGATTAACCACTATAGTTCAAAATAATTACAGTTCGCAGCTATAAGTAGGGTTTTATAGCAACTATAGTCATTTTTGCAAACAAGTAGACATATACTTGTTTTATCTACTTAAAAACGTTTGTATGTATAGGTTGGGTAATAGGTTTGGGGGCAGAGAGATCCAAAAAGTCAACATGTCTGGCTGGAAATGAGAAGAAGAGGAAGTCAACATGTGTACGCGTTATAGATCTGGACAATTAATTAAAATGTAAGATGTGGAGTTTGGTTTATTTATTATTCATTTTAGTTTGTAGGTTAGGTGAATTAGAAAATTCAGGAAAAGGAGGGAGGGAGGGCCTTCAATATTGAGGAAAAGGAATCGGACAACAATGTTATTAGTTTCCTTGTCGCGTGGAAAGCTGTCTTGTTTCACCTAATACCTAGGGCTCTGTGCTATTATATACATCCACCATTTCTCCTCCGTCATCATCATATATATATGGTTTGTTCATATTCATCTATCTACAAGTTGTTGTCAGTTTGCACGTAAAAATGAGTGATGAACAAAGACACGCCCCTCGTTTGAATGAGAGGATCCTCTCATCATTGTCAAGGAGGTCTGTCGCCGCTCACCCTTGGCACGATCTCGAGATAGGTAGGTACCTTCTCTTTTCATTCATAACACTATTGCCGCAATTGTACATACATATTCTCATCATTCCTTAATTCCCTGTTGCTGTGTAGGACCTGAAGCTCCAAATGTTTTCAATGTTGTAAGTACAATTGTTTTTTGATTAATTACTCAACATCATTTAGTTGATTATGATGGGAGGATTCCTTGGGAACAACAAGTCCTATCAGATTAAACTCAGGCTGCATTGCATTATCCTTACAGGTCATTGAGATATCGAAAGGCAGTAAAGTCAAATACGAGCTTGATAAGAAAACTGGTCTCATTAAGGCATGACCTCAAACTCCTAATTAAGTAATGTGAATCTCTTGTGTGTTCCGATATCTACTCAATCTCCATCTATTTTCAGGTTGATCGCGTCCTCTACTCATCAATGGTGTACCCCCAGAACTATGGCTTCATTCCTCGGACTTTATGTGAAGATAATGACCCCATGGATGTACTAGTGCTCATGCAGGTAATGGGATGCATGATTGCCTTCCCATACAATACAATTAATAGCATTTTATCCGGTTCAATTGAATTGAGAAATTGTTTCATCAACAGGAGCCTGTCCTCCCAGGCTGTTTCCTTCGAGCTAGGGCCATAGGTTTAATGCCTATGATTGATCAGGTTAATTCCCCTATATCGCTGCCTGCAGGTTAAACTTTATTGTTTCCTATCTGATAAAAGGACTAAATTTCTAATTCATCAATCCAGGGAGAGAAGGATGATAAGATAATAGCAGTGTGTGCTGACGATCCAGAATATCGCCACTACACTGATATTAACCAGCTTGCTCCTCACCGTCTGGCAGAAATCCGCCGCTTTTTTGAAGACTGTATCCTCCCTCATCATAATTTAATTGATTTGCTTCATTTCTAGCAAATTCCCTGTAAGTAAAATTTTCTTAATTTGTCACTAGACAAGAAGCTTGAGAACAAGGAGGTTGCTGTTAATGAGTTTCTGCCTCCAAGCACTGCTGTCCAAGCCATCCAATACTCAATGTACTTTTTGTGCTGGATTAATTGTGAATGCATACATACACTCGTTGATAATATAGTAATTTGAGCTAATTAATGTTGTCTTTGAAATATTTTAACATTTGCATTTTTACTTCCGTGCAGGGACCTTTATGCCGAATACATATTACAGACACTGAGAAAGTAATCTACCATTGCAAGTCGTTTAAATGACTTAGCCACCCTGGCAACTTTTATATTATGATGCAGCCAGATTGTTGTGTTTTTCTTTCATAAGAATTTTCCTTGTATTTGTTTTGTCACGCAGAGGGGGTGTGAAATTCTATAGCGAAATTAACACAATACATTATCATTCAGTTCAGTACTTGAATCAAACTGCTTCTTGTAGTCTATTGTGTTGAAACTTCAAGTACCAATTGTTGAGATTAGTCTATTAGCATGTTGAATCCTATGGGGTTGTGGTTGATCCTCACCAAAGATGAATCAAGATATATATTCTATTGGTTCAACCTATAAAATTCTTAACAGTTGTATTTTCAAAATTACAAGTTTTGGTTTCCCACTCGGTATCCCGTAACCTCATTGGAACTCAACTAAATCTGAATTCGCGCCGGGAAGTCCCACATTGGGGGATAAAGCACTCCCTAGCAAAGGTGACTCCGTACCCTAGGGGGCTCGAACCCGAGACCTCTTGGTTAAGGATGAAGGAGTATTTATTACTCCACCACAACCCTTGTTGGTCTTTCCAAGTATTATACTAGTACACAATATGGTTAATCCTAATTATTTCCAAACATAAACTACTAAGAACACAATATGTAGATAAAACACTCCCAATAGGTGCGCTCAAGTATAATTAGGGCCCAGATAACACTTTGCTCCAGATGCAGGAAATTATACAGCATGTACCGAGGCCTAAGTTTTTCTTTTATGACATCTGCATGCACTCATGGTTTCCTCAAACCTACTAATGAACTTATATGCATGAAAGCATGTCAACTCCGTATACCATAGGCAAAGTGCAATATTGCCCTTGTTAACCTTAATGGTAGTACGCTATAGATAAACAATTTTGCTGTCCATCCACAACAGACAAAAGTATTAATGAAGAACATCGTTTACAAAATACTTGTAGAAAACCTTCTTTAAAACATTGGAAAATAACAAAGGGTATCAAAAGTTAATAATAATTAAAGAGATGCATTCCAAGCAAGCAAACTTTGAGATCTATGCAACTACAGTTTCAGCGTTGACTGAAGAGAGCTTTGCTTATTATACCAGTGGCCTCAATATAACGATCAACACACCTTGAGATGCAACTACCTTCACTTCCACTTAGACTGCTCCCTGGTTTGGTGATACACTTGTCAAAGCATTTGTCCCTCACTGTCTGAGATAATTGAAGAAGGGTTAGTATTTTATCTTCTGCAACGATTTGCAGCCACCCAAAACATGCTGAACTTGCATACATCACAAGTTGCAGCATCTTATTTATACAATGACAGTAACTCAATCTACTTCTCCAGAAGATGTTTCAAGCAGTCCATAACAAATTATGTATGATGCATTCAAATAATCAAGGCACCATTGTTAAGTGATTCCAATCTGAAGTAAACCCATGATTGAAAAATGCAGATCTATCAGTGAAGCAGAAAAGTATCCACATCAAGAACACAAGCAAACCTTTAAATAAAGGTTGCAGGCAAAGTTCCAAGCACTAACTTGAAACAAACTATAATGTCAGTTATTGAAGTGCCATCTACAGTTTAACAGTCTCACCAAATAAATGACAGTTAACAAACCAAATGACTTGATTGTGAAATCGGAATATCAAAGAAACTAGGATGGTAACAAGTCATATGAGATTACAGAGTACAACACGGTAAGAGTATGGTAAATGAATTGACTGGCCAGCTTCAGATTCTCATTAGGAAAAATACTAATCTCTCACGGTGTCACTAATTGCTTGAGAAGCTATTCCTCCCCTGCTGAAATAATGAAAGGAACCTCGAAAGGCTACACATGGCTTAAGTTTCTTGTATTATAAGATTGAACGCCATAACTCTTATTTGTATTTTACTTTTTATTGGTGTTGTTGAGAAATCTGCTCAGATGAGATATTTTAAAAGATGTCATGGATGACCAAAATTTGAAACTACCAAATGCCAGTTCCATCAATCAATATTGTCATAATTATATATTAGCTCAAGTACCTAAAGACAAGACAATGCTAATTCATACTTCCTCGGTCCCAAAATATCTATACTACCCGACTTGTGCAATTATTAAGAAAAGAAAATTGAATTGTTACCCACGACACATTATATTTTCCTCATCCAAAAGAGAAGTGGATCTGGGAAGTCAAACCACTGTAGATTTCCCACTCTCCTATCAATTAAATCTACTGTCAGGTGCATACAGTTGGTTAAAAAAGATAGGATTTATTAATGGAACAATTGATTAATTGAACAACTGTGCTTTTCATCAAACCTGAATAAGGGTAGAACTGAATTCTAAGATGGGTAAGCCATTGCATTTTGTATAATCCTACTATTCCTCAATCCCAACAAGTTGGTCTAAAGAATCTACAATTTCTGCAAATCAATACTGACTTAACCAAGCAAACTAAAAAGAAAAAAAGACATGTCAAGTGTCTACTAACTTAGTGATCAATTAAGTGGGGAGGCCGGGAGGGGGAGAACCATGAGATCTTAGGTTCAAATCCTAGAAGAGACAAATTAAGCTAGGTAATTTCTCATCATCTGACTTAACCTTGGTAGACAAAGTCACCAGTTCATGTGTTGGTGAGAGGTACATGGTACTTGTAAAAGAGTGAGAAATTTAGTGAACTTTTTGGTCTAGAGAACCTCAATTTTACCTTGAAATGAACAAAATGAGCCAAATGAAAACAACAATTTCATTTAGCCGACTCCAAACTAGTTCGACTAGGTATAAACTGATGAGAGGGAGTTGCTCGAATGGTAAGCGTCCCTCACTTCCATCCCAAAGGTTGCGAGTTCGAGTCACCAAGGGAGCAAAAAGGGGTGGGAGCTCCTAGGGAGGGCAAAAAAAAAAAAAGAAAGACTAGGTATAAACTATAAAGTAGTAGCAATCCATATTTACAGTTAATTATTAAAGGGAGAAAAGTGCAAATGGACCAAAGGGAAGAATAAGTTAAATATTTTTGGAATACTAGAACTGACAGATTGTAATGCAGGTTTCGGTCATCCTAAGATATTGGATCATCTTGCTCATTCACAAAATTACACAACATTCCTAAATGATAATATGCTCATGAAGGAAACTGGAAATTGTTATTTGAAAAAAAAAAATGGAAATATGTATACTTATTCAAAAATATTTTGACATAAGCAGACAATTGGTACATGGAAAGCATACAATCAAACTCTGCATTGACTCTGGTCTTTCCTAGCATACAATTCAGATGGTTTACGAAGCACTGTCCTGAATACTGCAGAAAAAATTTAAAGGTGTTGGATGCATCCTAAAACCAAATGCATAGGAATAACTAAAGCTTATAGCAAGGAAAGACTTAAATACTCACAGTTTCAAAAAATAGCGATGAATGTAAAAAACAAATATGCATGACAGAGAAAAGGAGATGAAAATAGATATCAGATCAAACCTCGAGAAATTGCTCAGCGTATGCCTGTTCAAGCTGAGTTTTGACCTGGTCCATTATGTCATTCGTCGAGAATTGGGACGATGCTCCACTTGGCGGCGACGAAAAAGAATCCATATCCCCTTCCACGCTATTCTCTCCTGATGATTCTAAACCCTAGATTAGCATGTCTGCGGAAGCTAAAACCCTTCTCGCCGCCCACCTCAAATTACACCTTTACCCTCGTAGCTTTTTATTTTTTTCGAGAATTACTAGTAAAGTTTGTTTTTGTATGATTTAAAATCATTTATAGTACTTAAATAATAATTTTAAATACAAATTTGAACAAAATTCTAATTATGAGGTAATATAATAAGGGTAAATTACGTGAATTAGCAAATATTACTAGTGTATTATTTAATATAACAATAAGCTCATATAATTATAAACCATGGTTATTGTTTAATGAAATTTGCTATGAAGAATCTCATGTATTTATATAAACTTTATTTGTATATATTTATACTTTTGTATACGAATTAATAATTTTGTTATTATACTGTACATATTTATACATATTTATGTATATACAAACTTCCGTTTCTAGTGGTTGGTTCTATATATATTTTTTATTTTGATTGTACATTTTTTTCTCGATATATTATCACCCACAATACTTTATACAAATCAATCGTTAAAGTTCCTTTTAATCGTAGATAATTAGTTTCACTAATGTAATTATATGGTTGGACGGGATGTTAGAATGATTAGAGTGAATATTGCGTTTAACAATTAACGGGTTAGTAGGGTTAGTATCAATGTACTTTTGGTCGAGTTGAATACATCTATATGGCATAATTAAACTCTTCCAGCAAAATGATATGCAAACAATTTTATGTTAGTAACGTGAAGGTCTATGTTAAATTATTTTAATTGTTTGCGGCAGTACTGTTACTTTTCTTAGTTTTGCATATGTTCTTTTCTTTGTAAAATTTGGTTGTTCAGACTATTGATGGCTAATTAGTTGTAGGCCTTGATCAAAGAGCATTGTTTCACTGATGACAAATATGTAGAAAAATAATTATATTTTTATGAATGGTGGGGGTTGCAACCCTCAATATTTTTTAATTATTAAATCTATATACTAGAGGTTGTGGTCGCTGAAATTCAGAAGTAGTTTCCTAAAAATTAATTTGTGGTGGTTTAAACGATTGAAAATTAACCCCCGCTAATTGATTACAGGGGTCAGACAAAAACTTAAATTAATTGTGGCAGATTTTACGGTGAGAGTTGTTGAAACCTCTGGAACAAGCACATTGCGAGGGTTCTTAACCTCATAGTATGTAAAATTAACCCTCACTATTTAGACTTTTTTTTAATGACATTATATATAAAAAGTGTGAGCGAGAGAGTAGAGAGGCGAGTAAAATTTGAAAGCGAGAGAAAAGATATTAGAGAGTGAAATACTGTTTACAAAAAAAAAAAAAATATATATATATATATATATATATATAAAATTTTAAAGTAACTATAATATTTTTTATAAAATAATAAATAATAAATATATTAATGGACGTATGAACAATTGGTATTGCATCCTTGTGGTAGCTTTTTACTTGAATTCTTGTTGACTCAACTGTTTAAATGCCTTGCAAGCATAAACAAACACTTCTTTTTATAATGTATACATTTTAAATTAATATATATTAACTTGTCCTTCAAAAGTAATTATCACCTAAAACACAAAGGAGAATATTAGATAACTAGTCAAAATTCCTAACATAATTATTAAAAACATCTACACTTTAAAATATAATTATTAAAAATGTCAATATGTCAATATTTTAGCAAATAAAGTATATCTTAGGTTAGTTCCTAATTTATCCCACATTAAGCCCATGTTTCAACCATCACGTTCTCTCTCATATTTTTTCAAAAAAATATTTTTCTCTCTCATCTAATTCGCTCTTTCAATTTTTCTTCTACTTTTCATCTCCTGCTTCTCTCTCTTCTCTTTAGAAATTGATAAAAAAATATTCGAAAAGATGTTCACAACAATCCCATTGATTCAGGTATGTACTTTTTGCGATTCTAAAACTTTTTTTTTATCGATTTTGTATTTGTTTGTTTAAATGCTTAGTAAATTATTCAATTTCGATTAGGATTTTGGATGAGGAAAACCTCAAAGATTCCTCTCTAATGGCTGGCTCAAAAAGGATTACAATTGTGTTTGTATTCAATCCAAAAAGCATACATATTAATTTTGTGTAGTTGAATTTTTCTTAGAATATTGCTATTGTCTGAATTTGTATTCATTATAATTTACATGGATATTGTGGAATTGTTAGTATGGATATTGTATTTCTTAATTTTTAGTTTGTATTTGGGACATGTTGTTAGTATTGATATTGTATCCATATAGGTGTATTCAGTCTACCTATGTATCCTTTTCGGAGTGTTTTTGTATTCTTAGGTATTTGTTAATTAGGATGTTGGTTTGGGTAATAGAGTAATTGTATCGATTTTTCTAGTTTTGAACATTTGTAAGTCTTTATGTGCTTGTATTCATTCCAATAAGTATGCATAGTCAAAAATTCAAACTATTGATCTTGTCTAATTTTGTATTCATGCTACTTTGTATGTTTTCTGTATTCATTTTATCCATGTATCAATTTTAGAATGTTTTTGTATTCTTCGGTTATTAACTATATTCCTTTTAGTTTCTTCTCTAAAGTTGAATTCATTCCTTATTCATAACAGTGTATCTTGTATTAATTTTAGTGTATCCTTTAGTTAAATTTTAGTCATTTTAATATGTATGTGTGGTCTATTATATTCATTATGCTTTACTTCTGGTTCTATGTATGTATATTTGGCGTGTTTGTATTTATTATGGTATACTTTTTGTATTTGTGTATTTTTAATGAAATTTATAGTCATTAAGACAAATATATATGCATTGATTTCTTTGAACATATGCAGGGAAATGATTTTTATGTGAAAAATTCACCTACTAAGCTCCACAATTCAGCGTAACTTTAATAATGACATTAAACCCCTCCTCACCAAAAGAATGATGTCGGAGCCATAAGTGATAGTGAGGCACATGTGAGGATTAATAGGTCTCACATAGTGTCACGCTCCGAGAGCACCCCCTAGATGTGAGACGGCGTACTTGACCCCAAAGGGGTCTCATACAAGCCCTTAGCATAATCATAACATATGTTGATAGAAAATACAGAGGAATTTAAAACTTTGAAAACAACAATTATAAATATTTATAAAAGAGTGCGGAAGCTTTCTAGACTATGTCTCAAACCATCTATTACAACCTTGAAATATAATCTTTGGGACGCAGCCCATACAAAGTCTTAAAACATAAAATAAAATGGCATGACAAAGGAATAGGTTCTATTAAAGAAGTGATTGAATAATAGTAGTATAGAAAAGCTTGTAATGAGTTGGCAGTAGCTAGGGTAGTTAGAATTCAGTTACAGTCTGTCAGAGTAATTGAATTCCAGCTTGCATTAGGTGCATTGAGTTTGTTAGAAGAATGCACGTGCTACATGATGTAACTAATATAAAAGGAGGTCTCTCCTTCATTTCAGATATATCAAAAATATAATTCTTCCCTTTAAACATTCTGTTCATTCTGCATCCTCATCCATGGAAGAGTAGCTTCCATGGATTCTATCACACAAATATAAAGTTTACATGGTATCAGAGCAGCGGAACTGGGATAGTTTTTTATAGCTGTGTATCGTCGTCTTCAAAATTCAAATTTCACTTCGATTTATCAACTGAATTTTTGATATGGCAGAATTAACAGTAGCCACACTTGAGCACAGTCATCTCCTCTATCTTCAAGCTTCAGATATGCCAGGTGCAGCTCTAATTGCGACTAAACTCACAGGTCCAGAGAATTATGGGCTTTGGAGTAGATCATTACGTCTTGTATTATTGGTCAAAAACAAGCTTGGATTTGTAGATGGAACCTGCTTAAGAAGTTCATTCAAAGGTGATTTAGGCACACAGTGGGAAAGGTGTAATGCTGTAGTACTTTCATGGATCAGCAGTACTATAGCTCCAGAATTAATCACTACCATCGTATATGCATCAAATGCTAAAAGAGTTTGGGATGATTTCAAGGAGAGATTTGACAAATCTAACCTCACCAGAGTGTATCAACTATGGGTAGAAGTATCTTCTCTGAAATAAGGTACTGATTCTGTAACTACTTACTATTCAAAATTGAGAGATCTATGGGATGAATTAGATGTCTTAGTTCCAGCTCCATTGTGTAATTGTGATGAGGCTAAGCCTTACATTGAACACCTAAGCCAGCAAAGGTTATTAATGTTTCTAATGGGGTTGAATGAGTCCTATGTGAGGAGTGACATTTTGCTTAAAACTAATGTACCTACTGTTAATCAAGCGTATGCTACTGTAATACAAGAAGAAAGTCAGAGGTTACTAGGTGTTGTAGACATTAACAAAGAGCCTCTTACCATGTTGGTCAATCGAAGACAAGGTTTTAAGGGAAATAAGTTGTTAGACATAGCTTGTGAACACTGTGGTTACAGGAATCACTTGACCAAAGACTGCTACAGAGTTATAGGCTATCCTACAGATTTTAAGAGTAAAAGGAAGCAAGGACCAAATGTGTTTCAAGGAGGCAACAGTGGTTATAGATCAACCAACAACACTCAGAATGCAGGGCTTGGTTTCAAACCTTATGCTAACTATGTAGCACCTGAAGATCAAGGACATGGTTTTGATCTCACCGAGGAGGAATACAACCATGTACAAAATCTTAGGCACAATACCAAGCACACAAAGGCTGCAGAGGTTGGTGACTGCAAGGCAAACATGGCAGGTAATGTGTCACTAACACCTGCCTTTTATGAACATGCTTGGATTATTGATTCTGGTGCTACTCATCATGTTACATCTTCTAGAGCTCTTCTAGATAAAATGAGCTATATAGATAATCCAAGATCAAGTACTGTTCAATTGCCTACAGGGAATAAGGCTTACATTCAAGGCACAAGCAACTCTGTGGTTTTTGGAAAGTATACAGTGCGGGATGTGTTACGTGTGCCTGACTTCGAGTTTAACTTGTTGTCAGTTGCCAAGCTAACTAAAGAACTACTATGTAGTATCA